AAAAAAAAAAGGGTCGTCTGAAGTTCGTATTCATAAACCACAAATAAACATATCTTAAAATCACGATACTAAATAAAAATTCTTTGTATCCATCTACCATCCATAAATGCTATATAATAAAAAACCCAAACGTCGTTAACGACAAAAATAAGTAGTAATAAGCAGATTATAAACTAAATGCATCCATTATCCGACTAATAAAAAAGACATTAATCTGAATCAACTTTCGAAGCCTCAAATTCGATATCTTGGTCTCCTCATCGGCGCTTTGTTGATTTTCCCCTCTTCTGGCACCGGGTGAGCTTCGTCTGCTGCAATTTTCTCGACAATTCTCGAGGGTTCTTCTGATGAGGTTTCGTTTTCGATTTTATCCTTCTTGAAAGGGATTTTGATTAGGATTTTCTTCTATCTCGCGATCCCGCCCTCGTCGGGTTCCTTCGCTTTCTATTTGGTTTCGAATTTCTGAATACCTCGCTCGGGGTTTGTCGCTGGAACCTTCGAGTTGAACCTCTGGTGCTCAGAAGAATCGGCTCTATCCTTGCCGGAGGACCTCGATTCGGGAGCAGGGTCGTGTCTCCGGAGGTGGAGTAGCAGATCGAGGGCTATCGGCGACCTCCGAGCCCTGTCGCCGCCCGAGGTAGTCGTTGAGGAGAGAGAACTCTGACAGCGAAGGAAGCGGCGACGAGAGAGGGGACTGGTAGTGCGGCGGCGTCGCCGAGACGTATTCTCGCAGCGACGATTGGCGGATGGGGGATGGGAGGATGGTGTTGTCGGCCTCCGAGACACGGATTTGATCGAGCGACGACACTGGTGGTGGTGGCAATGTTTGGAGCGCCATGTTGTGTGCAGAGGAAAAACGAATTTTCAAATCCTTAATTATTTGAGGCATCTTTTTGCAGATGCCCCACTAAGATAATTTAAGCATTTTACCATATTTAAAACACGTTTTGACTTGGTAAGACTATACCTTCATACATGGCAATTGTAAAGTAACAATGTTGCTTATAAATGTACCCAAAAAAATTAGGGTAACATTTTTTATCAAAAAGTAAAATGTATGTGGCGAGGAGGGTAATTTTCCCTTTATTTTTATGTATGCTCAAAACGGTAGATCAAGATGTAGTGAATGGAAAACAGAGGAGTAAATATGATGAGAAGAAGATTAAAGGGAACAAGATTAGGCGTCTCACTAGTTGGTGCTCAAGAACGTTATTATCAAATAAAAGTTCCAAAATGAAATACAATGAAAAGAAAAGCGTGCATTTACCTTAATCAAATCTAATGTAAAGTAAATATGCTCTCAGCCAATCCACATATCAATCAACTACACACCAGAAACATTTTTTTACCATCATATTTGAGAAATTAAAATTCTGTGTCCTCCCTTTACTCTGAAGCCTCGTGTGGACTAACGGACGAGTAGTAATGAGACTCTGCAACCTCCTCCCCAATTCTCGACAATTTCCGATTTGTACTTTCAGCCAAATTACGGTCTACATGGTCATCCAGAGATGCAAATCCTGGGAAAATTGCAATCTGCTTCAACTCCGACACCAATTTGAGCAGCGAGTCAGCAGCTTGAACCTGATATTTGTGGGTTCAAATACCAACTTAAACACAAAACCAGCATTAAATACAAAATAAAATAGAATCAAGAATTTTCTTTTCTTTCTTGCCGTACTAATTTCCAGATAAGTTGGCACACATTGGTTATCAACATTAATCAAATTCAAAGATACATAAAGGGAATGCGCTTTTCTTTTCTTTCTTGCCGTATTAGTTGAAGCATTTACTCTACTACTACTACTACTACTAGTTTTCAACTCGACTCGTCTTGTTTGTTTTGTTTGTGTGAAGATACATAAAGGGAATGCGCTTTTGTATAAAACCTTCAAACTGCTGCAACCTAAATGTAATGTAAACAAGATATGTTGCAAACGTTGAAAAGAGAAAGTTGAAAGCTTCAGACTGGTGCTTTTTCTTAGTTACTACAACAACTAAGCCATGTACAAAAAAGGTTGGCAACAACATTTTGTCCGAAACAAACCATGTTTCCAAGTTTAGGTTAGCAGAGAGAGTTGAGTCTTCATAATCATAGGCTCCCTCAAAATGAAACCCCAAGAACTGGATATTGCCTCACTAAATCAAATTCAGTGTATTATTACCTCAATTAAAGTGTTCCACGATTCAAAGTTCAAACAGCAGTGTACAAATTGAATAACCAAATCAAACAAAGTACAAAAATTTAAATGCAAACCTTCTTTTTCTGAGGTTTGAGGGCTTCTCCGGTTCCGGCGGAATTGGGTAGCGAAACGAGGGTGGTTAGTGCGGTGCGGCTTTCTGCTTTTTCTCGTATGCCATCTGGGTAGATACAGTAGTAAAATTTTGGATCCACCGATTTGTGAATAGGGCGGCAACAACTTCAGATTTGGATCCACCGATTTGTGAAATAGGAAAAGAACAAGAATGATGGAGTATGAAAATTTTGCTAAAAAAAAAAAAAAATTGCAGAAAACCCCGAACGAAGGAAGAAACGATCGATTTGGAAAAAGAAAAATTTGGACCATTTCTCGATTTATGCGTGTCATCCTTGCGCAGGGGCCATGCTAATCTTCTCTGTTTCGTTCCAATTTTATCAGATGTCCCCGAAGGGACGAACGACAGGTTGAAGCCAACATTATATAAAGCAATGAGATTGTGCTTCCATTACCGATGTGGAGGAAAAATATGAGAGTTTTTGTGCTGAAGAAGTTTATTTGGGCCGTTGCTTTACCTATCGTTGCAAGAGTTTTATTTGGGCCGTTTTGTGAGCTCCTTTCCCAATCGGCCCAATATAAGGAGTCTCTCTCTTTCTTCCTTCTCAGAATTTATTACTAGTTTTATTAGGACATTTTAGCAATATTTTTCTTTGCGTTACCGGTAAATTCTTTTCATTTAGGTTTAACTAGTGTGGTCACGGATGCTCGAATTTAATATAATTAATGTTTTTGATTTATCACTATTTCTATATGTGCCTAATATGCGTTTGATGGAGATTTATTTTCATATGATATTGAGTTAAAGTATGATATTATCAAAATTGGAACAATATTTTATTTAATATTTATTTTCATATAATATAGAGTTAGAGTATAATATTATCAAAACTGAAACATTATTTTAGTCATTTAATTAATTGATAAACTCATCACTTAGAAAGTATACAACAACCTTTAATTAACGAGACCAGGATTTAGAAAATATAAATCAACCTTTAATAAAACAATATCTAGAATTAATATACACTCGTACGACATCGTGTACTACACGAGGATTTGAAAAAATATATATTTTTATAATGAAAGTGAATCTATAAAATTAGTTATTTTCTTATTGTGAAATGATAAGAATTAATGTACAATAAATAATAAGTAACTAATATAATGATAACTGTGTAAAACAACATGCACTTTTACCCTCGAATTGTCAAAAATGATAATCAATTTAATTATATTTATAAAATTATATATATATCTAACAAAAATATTATTTATAACTCTGCTAAATTGTGTTTTAGTTTTTACATTAAATTGGATAAATTTGAATCAGTATGAGTTATATGACTGTTTATAAATATATTTCTAAATATCATACAAAATATTACAAGAATAACATAATAATTATTTCTTATTTATATTTTTTATTGTGTCTTCTAGCTAATAATATTTGATAATTGGAATCATTCTATAATCCTATGAATTGTAATTAATAATTTTTTATTACAATCAAATTTTATATTTACTTATTTTGTTAATTTCGACATCATAATAATATTAAATAAATTTTACACTTTATTGGAGTGGATATATAAGTTTTAGAAGTTTGTCCATATTCAATCTATGTTTATACTTTATCGCTGCATATTTTTTTCTACTATTGCNCACACCAATGCTCAAAGCCTAGCATACTCACCAACTTCTACAAATTGAACTGAACAAAGCTCAAACACACACTACAAGAAGACACCCAAACAACCAAATACAGAAACAGACATAAACAGACACAACAAGACAGCAACACAGACAATAAATCAAAGAAGGAGTCAAGACCTCACAGCTAAAAATTCCTGCCAATCCTTAAGAGCCCTATTGATTAGCACTTGGACTGGAATCTTCACCTTCTCAAACATCCAAAGATTTCTTCCCTTCCACAACCACCAAAGAAGGTAGGTGGTTAATTGAATTCTTTCTTCTGCGACTTGAGTATGATTGATGGTTCAAAGATGCCACCACCAGACTCTGAAGTTATTTCCAACAGTGGTTACTCCATCCCATTGAACAGGTCCCTGCTGCCAAAGTTGCTGAGCCCTAGAGCAGTGGATTAGGAAGTGTTCAACTGTTTCTGGGAGTTCCGCACAGCAATGACAAAGAACATCAACAGAAAGGCCTTTCTTGCACAGGTTGGTGTTGACAGGAAGGGTGTTAGTTAGACACTTCCATAGGAAATGTTTTACTGTTCCCTTGATTTTGAGGTTCCAACTCCTTAGACTAGCTTTTTTAACCATATCTTGGCCTTGGCTAACTTCTGGGATATCAAGCTGCAAAGTTTTTTGATTGATCAAGTAAGTGTAAGTGGAAGAGACAGAAAAATTCCCTTTCTTGTTAAGACACCAGAAGAATCTGTCATCTCTTGCAGGATTCAAGGTCTTAATGCTTAGTATGGCATGGCTTTCTTCATCATTAAACAGTTGTTTTACCAGCCAGTCATTCCAATGTGACCCATCATCTGACAAGAGCTCCTTAACTCACAAAATGTGCCCCTGTGCTAAGTCCAGCAGCTTTGGTTTGATAAGAGGAAGAGATGGGATCCAGTTCAGATCTTCAATCTTGGTGAGAGCACCATTTCTAATTTCTGTTCTGAGGCCTTGTTTGAGAATTGGTAAACAGTCAAGCCAAGTATGCCATAACCATGAGTCTTGCTGAGATTTTTTAGCCTCAAAGATAGAACAGTGTGGGAAGTACCTGTCCTTGAGGACCTTGCTCACCAATAAGTCAGGCTAGGTAGCAACTCTCCACAGTTGTTTGCATATGAGAGCCTTGTTGAACAGACTCACATCCTTGAAGCCAATGCCTCCATTCTCTTTAGGAAGAGATAAGAGGTGCCAAGCTTTCCAGTGGATGCCTCAATCTTTAGTGTCCCCTTTACTCCACCAAAAGAAAGCACTGAGGCTGGCAATAGCTTTACAGGTGGCCTGAGGCAGTTTAAAGCAAGACTTGATAAACACTGGAAGAGCATCAATGACTGCTTTAATGAGAACTTCTTTCCCTGCAACAGATATCAGCTTGTTCTTCCAGCTCCAAAGTTTTGATTTCACAGAGTCAAGAACATAAGAAAAAACCTCAGTTTTGGATCTGCCAATCCCCAGTGGAAGGCCCAAATATCTAGTAGAAGTGTGAGGCTGAATTCCATTCATAGCAGTGCAAATCAGATTTTGAATATGAGAGTTGGTGTTCTTACTGAAGAATACAGAGGACTTTAGGAGATTCACTCTTTGCCCAGTAAACAGTCTATACCTCTCCAGTAAGTTCATCAGTTCATAAGCTTGGGCAGTATTTGCTTTGCAGAAGAAGAGCGCATCATCTGCAAAAATAAGTGTGACAGAGCAGGGCCTTTTCTTGAAAGCCTAATCCCACTTAAGTTCCCTCTTTGAAGGCCATCAGAAATCAGTGCAGATAGCATTTCAGTGACAATGATGAATAAGTAGGGGGATAGAGGATCCCTCTGCCTTATGCCTCTAGAAGGATAAATTATGCCACTCACAGAGCCATTAATACAAACAGAAAGAGAGGAGGTAGTGACACAGACCATAAGCAGCTTCACAAAATTAGGACAGAAACCCATCTGGAGCATGATTTTTTCAATGCAGACCCACTCTACCCTATCAAATGCTTTCATAAGATCCAATTTTAAAGCCATGAAACAATTATTCCCAGTCCTGTGCCTATTTAGGTAATGAAATACCTCTTGAGCCAGAATAACATTATCAAGCAACTGTCTATCTTTAATGAAGGCAGATTGGCAGTTACTGATACAAGAACTAAGGCACACTTTCAATCTAGAAGCCAACAACTTACAGAGCACTTTATAAATCACAGAGCATAAAGAGATAGGTCTATATTGATTCAGAGCTGAAGGATTCTTGCATTTAGGAACAAGGGTGATCAATGTGTGATTCCAATATCTCAAGATCATGCTAGAATCAAAAAAACTTTGATTATCTTCAACAAAATCAGATTCAATTAAGTTCCAGAAGTATTGATAAAAGAAGGCAGTCATACCATCTTCTCCAGAAGACTTATCAGGATGGAGGCCAAATCGAGAGTTTTTAATTTCTTCAGGTTCAAAAGGCATAAGGAGCTGCTGGTTCATGTCTGGGGTGATTGATTGAGGGATTAGTGGAAACATGGATTCTCCACCCCATGATCCTTCAGAAGTAAACAGAGAGGAGTAAAAACTTGTGACATGCTCTTCAATCTCAGGTTGAGTTGTATAAGTTCTGTTACCCTCTGAGACCAGCCTAGTAATAGCATTTTGCCTTCTTCTCTAGATGCAATATGCATGATAGAACTTAGAGTTGGAGTCCCCCTCTTTGAGCCACTGAACCCTTGCTTTTTGAGCCCAAAACTTCTCTTCAAATGAATGAGCTTTGTCCAGCTCATCCCTAACATATTCCCAGGAATCCCAGTTATCCCCTCTGCCTTCTTCTCTGAGAGACTCCAATTGAGTAGATAACTCTTCTATCCTGGCTTGATTTTGGGTTTTGAATTGGGAGCTCCAGAGGATTAAGGCCATTCTAGTTTGTTTCACCTTCTCTTTGAGCCTATGGAAAGGAGTCCCAGATTGAGACTGAGACCATGCATTTTGAACCACCTCAGCCAAACCTTCCTTTGCAGTCCATCTCCTATAAAAAATAAATCTTCTCTTCTGTTTCTATGGAGCATGCCCTGAGTCTAGGAGGATTAGAGAGTGGTCTGAGGCACTTTTCACCACATTAAGGACTTTGGCATTGGGATTAGAGCTTAACCAGTCAAGAGAACCAAAAGCCTCGTCCAATTTCTCAGCCA